CCCATCGCCCGGTATTCTAGAAAATAGAAAACACGACGTTTCAGAAACTGGATCTGTTTCCGTCCTCCGTGAGTTGGGGTGGAATACACCTATTCAGCTGGGTCCCTTAAAAAGAGTTAACCTCGTTGTGTTTTCTGTTTTCTAGAATACTGGACGATGGAGAAAATTTAAAAAATCCAGTAATTCCGAAGAATTTAATTTAATTACTATCTCTACTAGCACGAATTTGTATTCAGTAGAAGCATTACTATTATCTAGCATTAAACAACTAGAATTGGGCTCGCTTTCATAGTTTACCATTTGTTGAAATTTCGTCATTTTGGGGTTAAATATATATAACTTAAATGTTGAAGAATTATATGGTGTGAGTTTGAATAACATATTTTCTGTAAACACGGTCCAGGAAGTAGAGATTACTTTACTTTTCAAACCCTGTCATCAAACCTCAACCCTTTGTTATGTTCATTGTTTAAAACAGTAATCAGCATATACTTACTTACTTACTTACTTATTGAACTGAGCCCTTCTTGAGGAAAAGCCAAATCTGCAGCTACTCAAGAACTTCCCTGCATTTTATGGAACCCGAAGTTTCATTACCGTGTTCACAAGAACCCTGGTTCCTATTCTGAGCCAGATCAATCCAATCCATACCCTCCCATCTTATATCTCTAATATCCATTTTAATATTGTCCACCCACCTACGCCTTTGTAGTTACCAGCATATGACATTACTTACTTACTCATGGAGCTGAGCCCTTCTGGAGGAGCCACCAATTCTGCAGCTATTCAAGAATTTCCCAGCATTTTATGGAACCCGAAGGTTCATTATCGTGTTCATAAGAGCCCTCCAGTGGTCCCTATCCTGCGCCTGATCAATCCAATCCATACTATCCCATCCTATATCTCTTAAGATCCTCCCCAGCATATGACATAGAAATTTAAAATAAATAAAATAAAAATTAAAGCGTCTTTCGAAATTTCTACCAAGTATTTTCTATAAATGGCAACAATTTTTTAATAACGCAATTATAGTATTTGATAGAGATCAACTACGCAGAATATTGCAGTTGCCTAATTCCTACTCACGTTTTGAAGATTTTTTTTTAGATTATCATGGTTCGTTATTGGGTCAAAGGTCTTTTACTTAATCCATCATCGTTTTTGATCTGTAGCTCGTTATTTAGAAATTCTCAGTATGACGTCATGACGTGGTAGAAATCTTATCACCCATCCGTCATGTGTGAGAAGCGTATCGAAAGCTTAATATGGATCGCTGTTCTACTCGTAGTTCTTATTTTTCCCCCATCTTCATGTTTTTGAAAGGCTTGACCGTAATGTTACGCTGTACCATACTTGAACTGGCAACGCTCACTTTGTTGTTACTTCTGGCTACAGATGTACCTTCGTATTCGCCAAGGTCACGTTCCTGACATGATGACCAGTCAGATGATGGACACACATAGGCCTATATAGATATATACATGTATGATTTTAGTTAACTGCGCAGGCCTATTATTCTCTCTTCGCCACTTCTACGCTTCCACCACCGAGAAGCTCATCATGATGCCCTATGAGAGACTTTTCAAAGAAAATTCATTATACTATAAGGTATTGTTGGGAGGGAACCTGCGAATAGCAAATTCGATATTGTATGGCGGAATTACCATATACTGTGCACCAGTAATTTCGTTTTTGGTCCTGTTTATTGCTCTTCCTCTCCTTATATAGTATAATATCTCTGTTCCTCCGCGGTTAGGGCGTCGTGGAAACATATATGACCGTTTGGAGCGGTTTTCCTGCTACCAGCTTAGATTACAAGTTCTTCTTCGTCCAACGGCGTCGGTTGCGCGGATGATAGTTATCGTGCGATCAGACTGAATGAAATACCTCCTGACGCTTTCTGCAGTTCGTGGAAGAGGACGATGCAGTGTTATGTATGTGTTTCATGCTATTCCGGTTTAGTCTTATAAGGAATGGCTGTAACCGTAACATACTCATATATTAATCCTTGTTGTTCTTTGGTGGGTTGTCTTACCACACTGTCAGCAGCTAAACTATGTACCATCGAATGGTGGGATGACAGATTAATTGGAAGTGACTCGGAAAGAAGCGGTCGTGTTTTAATCAAAGCACTATCTTGGCATTTGCCTGAAGAGGCTGAGGTAAACCACAAAAAGAACTCAGGATAAATCCTCATTAATCAATAATCAACACAAAGGTAAAATTCACCTTGTGCTTAATTAATTAAGCACCACACCGTATAGGGGAATGGAGGTATAGTTCCCGGATTCTCAACATCGGCATTAGATGAACGTAAGTGGTGAGCTTCATGCCCCTGCCGCTTTACTCCCGGGGAAACAGGCTCTAGAATCCACTGCGTTGGAGGCTGTGTTTGCCTCAGAGTCGGTCTGGACGTTGTGTAAGCCAAATAATCGTCATGCCTTTGCCGGGAATCGAACCCCAATTCCTCAATCGTCCAGGTCTTATTTTAAAGATTGGTGATAATAATAATAATCCAAAATTAATAGTAGAACATTAGCATATACATACATCCTCTATGCAGAGTATTAACATTTAAACCTGTTTCTAAGGTTACAGGAAATTATTTAATGTCTTACGACTTATTCCTCCATCTGGCCTCTCCTAGAATATACTTTCCACGATATGGTCCCTTCACCCTTTATGGTTCTGTCGTAATTGTGCAGTCCACTGTTTTGTACATTGTGCAGTTTTCTTTTACCAGTAGGTGCATATTGTATATTTGGTCGCCTGCTTAACTGGTATGAATTCTGTATAGACCTACGTGTGTAACCAATTATATCAGTACTCGTCTACTCTTTTAATTAATTTTTTTTTCTTGGCACTACAGCCCCAGTGGACCTAGGCCCACTGGGGCTGTAGTGTCAAGGAAAAAAAATCGATTGATTGCAAAAGAGGTTACAAATTTATTCTAAATTCCAAAACTAAATTGAAGAGTTATTTTTGTTGATATGGAACCCCATGTAGTCCACTTAGCAACCTGCTTCACGCTGGTTTCATTCTTGGCTTATTCTTCGACCCTGAAGATGGAGGCGATATGTTTCTCTGAAACGTCGGTTGACTTTCAATGGACTACACTGCGTTATATCCCAGAATATAGAACTCTTCATAACCACAGCTGTATATCCTGTGTAGTACATATAATTGCCTGAGTGCTACTGTTTTTCTGTGTAAAGATCGTGTTTGAATTGACAGTTTTGTCATGAGGATACAGACGGTATCAAAGTCGGCGAAAATTAATTCTAGGTCAAACTCTTGCGTATACCATGAAAGTCTGTTTAACCTATATAAATTAGGTTTATTTCGAATGGCAGGCTGGAAAAAGTTCCATGTCAGAATCACTATCAACGCTGGAGGAGTACAATGGGTTTTATGTTGAGTCCGTGTTTTTCTCCTCGCTTTAAGTAAACTTGTTGTTGTGTAACTCTCCAAGAAATGCTATATGGCATCAAGCCCCTTATTCATGACCCTACTGAATTACCAGTTCATCTTCATTTTCTTCAAATCCATAAGTCGTAAGAATAGAATTCAGGCTAAGTTGCACTGAACTAACAGCTGTTCAGAACTTGCGTTAATGATTACGATTAAAACAATTTAATGTAAATGCGTATATAAACAGTTTTTCCTTTGTTTTTATTGTTACAGAACAGGAGTTATTCCTCTGAGAGAACATAATTGCATGTACAGATTTCTAATAACATTTGTACATAAAATAAATAGGAAACGGAGAAAATTACATACTGAGGAATTTTATTTCAATTTTAATATAATCCCAGGTCTGTACCTGGGTCTTAAAATTTTCTCTGTCATTTAAATTTTCCTATCAGAGCTTTTTATGCATTCTTTATCTTTCGCATTCTTGCTACAGGTCCTGTCCATCCCCTGCTCTTTCCTTTGATAATTCCAATAAGATATGAAGAACACAAGTTATGGAGTTCCTCAGTATGCAGTTTTCTTTAGCCTCTTGTCACTTATAATCCTTTAGGTCCAATATTTTCCTCAGTAGCTTGTTCACAAACACCTTGAATCTATACTCTTTCTATAGTGGGACAGAGTATGCTTCACATCCACACAAACAAGTAGATAGAATTATACTTTTATATGTTTTAATATTTGTTTTTGGATAACAAAATATAGGAAGACGAAAAAATCCAGTCTGAATAGTATTTCACCTAAGCATTCTCCTACTTTCCATTGTTTGTTTAATAATGTATTATCTCAAATATATTTCTTACGAACAACAATAATAATTCTATCCTTATGTAGAGCTAGGTAAGTTAAATATACGTTTTCCCATTATAAAGCTTGTAATATTAAATAAAAACGATAAAAATAAACAGTTATTGCATACATTTAAACACCGGGTCATATCTGCTTATTTCTCGCTCTCTCTCTCTGTCTGAAGATGCCATTGGAAATTAATCTCGTACTCCCGTGGCCTAGAACAGCAAGACTCTATATACTTGTGTGAAAATTAATTACCAAATGTTCTGAGGCAAATGTTGGAGCTATAAATATGGCATGACGTCAGAGTACCCTCCGGTAACGGATAAATATCATACACTTCTAATTAAAATACATCTTTTGGTGTGTGGTACTGACGTACGTTTCTGTGACTATGATTCACCGTCAGCTGACACAAAAATGCTTTATAATATATATTTGTAACTTGTATAATGATGATGTGAAATCCATAAATGCACTTTTTTCTTTTGCCTAGCGGGTCACAGTTTTGATTCTAATATTTTAATGGTAATTATCTATCAGTCTGTAATATAATACTGTTTTTAAATATGTATCTCTGTTATGCAGGAATATAAACCATTACTGGAAAAAATCTTTAGTTTTTCCAGAACTAACGGACCATTTTCTTTCGATGGTAACAAATGCTAAGTAACCAAACCTACAGCTATTGTTATTTGACCATACAACTTATATATTAATCTTTTTTTATGTGTCAGGCCATAAGTGTAATGTGAATTCTGATTCTGAACTCTGGACTCCTGACACATGACCAAAGAATAATCTTCGTCCGCAGCAATTTCCCATTTTGTCTGCTCAGGTATTTGTTAACGAAATTCTGTATTATTCGGATATAGCTATAAGAAAGAGGAAAGACTTACTTTGTGGCGGCTGTGTGCCTCGTTGACAGTGGTACTGTGGATCTGTCGGCAGTGCAAACTCTTCTGTCGGAAGTTCCCGTCAGTGGTGACACTTTTTAATATATATTCCCAGCATCCTACAGATCACCCCCTTCCCTCCAACATCCCTCTCTTCTTATCCATTTCTCACAAGACACATCAGAAACCACCATCCTTAACAAAACGCCCACATGCTGGTCACGAAATTAGCCACGTATTCACGATAAAATAAGTTCCACTTCATCACAGTATAGTCCAATTACTTCCATCTTACATCGGTCACCGCTTTGCGCAGTTAGCCCTTTTGTTCTCCTTTACGTATTTTACAGTGGCGGCACGTTGGACTGAGCCTGCTGGCACCGCGAGTTTTGTGTCCTGAATACTTTCGCCCTGCCAGGGCTTACCAAACCTTCAAGTTTTAGAGTCCCCATTTATAGTATACCGATAATTGATCTCCTGTCTGTTAAGTGACAATGAGAATAGTGTGATGAATTCAGCAAGTTTCAGTCTTCCCCACGCAACACCATGCATCTTAGTTCTACGAAATGATAAACTCCATTACACTTGGCTATACATGCATTTGATCAGGAGAAATATGTTTTGGAATGGAGGTGAAATATTGGGTCCAGTTTGTATGTTGTGCCATATGTACGATTTCAGGAAAATAATTTGAGTTTCTTTTCGGTGTCCATGGTTCGAATTGCTGTTTTTATATGTCAGTAGCCTCCTGCTGAAATCTCGTCACAGTGGAATGCTATAAAGAAGCTTGCACTGATAAAATTTTGCAATGTTTATGGAACAGGGTCGTCCTTGAGAAGCTCATCATGACTCAACTGTCAAGAAATCCTCCCCCCCCCCTCCACGAGATGAACCCGAGGGTTAATTATCATGTTTACAAGATCCTGTCATTGAAGACTGACGTGGAATAGATGAATACTATGTAAGATTTGTGGTTTTCACGGCGGTGACTATGAAGAAAGCAGTCTTCTGGGATGTGGCACCGTGTAGATGTGGTGTTAACCGACGTTTCGGAGGAATTTATCGCCTCCATCTTCAGGGTAGAAGAAAGAATAAGAAAATCCGCAAGCGAAGAGACAGTGAGAACAGATCCGTTTTAATACTATCCTTTTATATACACTTCGGTCTCGTAGGTGGCCTCTTCTTTTCAGTTATTTCAGACTACATGCTACATGATCTGCGCGCCTCATACTTCTTGATTTGATCATCTTAATAATGTTTGGTGAGATTTTACTACGCTGTTTAAATAGCCGTAGCTTTCTACTCTAAATATTCTAATAGATATATTATAAATTTTATTTGTCGTTATTTAGGGATGAAATTTTCTATCTGCGAGTAACTGCAATACATGAACATCAAGAACAATTAAGAATGCAGACGTGCAAATAACACATTTGGACATTGTGTCAACTCATGTGAAGTATATTTTTCCTTGCCAATTTTTATAGGACATCTAGGACCGTTACTTCACTTGAAGGCTTAAATAAAAGTGTATNTATGATATATTTCGTTACATATATTTCGTCAGCAGTAAGGCAGACGTTGAATTATAAATACTCAAACGTGTCTAAGTGTCTAAAACAGCAAAGAGACACTCTAAGACCTGGAATCAAAATATTAAACTTCATCTTAAGGAAATAGATTGTGTGGAATGGATTAATATGACTAGGAATATGTAGGCAGACCTGCCAGTAGTTCGATCTTGAAAATAAAGAAAGAGGGTATGAACTGTATTTATTTGGTGTAAGATAGGTACCAGTGTCGGACGCCTGTGAATACGGTAATGCACCCTCCGGTTCGGTTCCATAAATGAAGGAAAATTTCTTGTCTAAGTAAGCAACTGTTACCTTCTCATGAAAAATTATTTTCCATGGAGTTAGTTAATTCATGCAGCATAAATTCTCTTTGAATCCATGATATATATACGGTGTCCGTCTTGCAGTGCATCCACTTGTACCTGTCACCTCACAACATGTTTCGGCACCATAGTGCCATCCTCAGGTGCTCCATTTACTCTAATCTATTGCATTGCATGCCATTATGTCATTGTAAAATTATTTAAAAAGTAGTTTAAAATATTCGTCAGTTATAATACATTTTTTGTATACTAAAATCTTGTTAAGATATTCATCTTATCTGTCTCTTTGAGTCATATTGTTTGTGTTCTTTTGGTGAGCATAGCTTACATAAATTTACTGTTATTTCTAATACATTTCTGTTCAAATGTATTTTGTCTTTATTGTAGCTTTCTTCATATCTTTTACTTATGTTCGCAATTGGCGCAAAACTCAGATGCCTTATCAGATAAACTTTAGTGCATGTTCTGTATTTCTGTGGTCTAGTGGTCAGAGTTCCTGGCTAAAGATCCTGAGGTCCCGGGCTCGATTCCGGGCGCTACCAGATTTTCTGAGAAGTAGTATAGGTCTTTAACGGGGTCCACTCAGCCTCATGAGGATAATTGAGGAGCTACATGAATAAAAGTGGCGGCTCCGGTCTAAAAAACCGAAATTAACCGCCGTGGGGATTCGTTGCGCTGACCACGCGACACTCTCTATCCGCTAAAGTTGGCACTAACTTCGCCGACAAGCGGCGGTCGCTCGGTCGGTATAAAGAGAGATCGTTATCCCCATACTGAGCACCCATGCGCTGATGAATTTGTTCACCTTATGCCCCCAAAAAACATATCACAGATCGTTGCTCCTGCTTGATGCATTTCTTAAATTTCGCTGCCATGTTCACCGCTTCGTAGCAACTCTCACACTAACTGTAAAGTCAACTGACTTACCTTGCCGACTAGTCACATAACGCCCTACAATGCCCCCCCCCTCCCGCTCTTTCCATTTTTCTTCGAAAATATATAAATTGAAGATCCATTTTAACGTCCGCTGAACACGATCAAATTCCATTTCCAGGGGCAGGTACATTAAGTGACTAGTAAACTTTTTTTTCAGATCAGTTGGCCAGAAATTCTTCTTTTAAGAGCGGTTTAAGGATGATAAATCTTCTCCGTGCGTCATTCATATCGTCCCCATCTTGCGCTGCTGCCAACGCTCTTGCCATAGCCTCGTCATAATTATATTTCCTTCTTTCCTTCTTTCTTTCTTCCTCCCTCCCTTCCTTCCTTTTTTGTGAGTTTGTTTGCTGTCATCATCATCAACATCTGTGGAATACCGCAACTTGTAGTGTTCCCCATAATTGGGAGCACCTGGCCACGATAGCCGGTGGCCCAAATTACGCAACAAGATAAAAGTCAGCTGTACGGGAATACCATGCAGAACTGATACGTCCACACGTAAGATATTCACACCTTTTTCCTTGATGTCCCATTATATAAGGTGCCAACATCTGCATTCACTAAACACGTTCAGCGCACTAAAAATTACATCAGACTTGACGGAAACACAAACCTCTCTTATGACACAATCATATAAAGCACACTGGCTAAACTTCGAGGCAAAAGAGTTCTGTTCTGTAGACTGTGTTATGCTGCTGTCTGTCGGTGTGTTGTAGAACTGTCCTGGGTCAAATTTACACATTGATCCAAAGTGCACAGATTGCCCTTACCTGGCTTATTCTTACCTAAAGTGGTGTTTTTAGTTTCAAGGAAACTGCTCTTATGCTCTTAAAACAAACTTAAAATCAAGATCATATTTAACTACGGTACCTTGCACCATTAGATCTTTAGTATTAGCAGTGCCATTAAGCTCCGTTTGCACTAATACCCATCTTAATCAAATGTTTCGGAAATATCATTAATTTTAGTATTAAAAAAGTCAAGTAAAATTGCCCTCGTGCTTAATTAAGTAAGCACTACACCATGAAGGCCTCTGGGGGTGGTTGATGTATAGATCCACATTTTCTTGACCTCGGCACTAATTGGAGGTGAGTGGTCAGCTTCACGCACCGGTCGCTTTACCCCCGGGGAAAGAGCTCCCCCCCGTACCCATTGGATAGGAGGTGGGTGGACCCAGAGCCGGTCTCGGCGATGTGGAGAACAGAAAATTCTTGACCCTACCGGGACTCGAAGAGGTCATGTTCTATATATAATTATTGGCTGACTATTACAGAACAATCATTCGCTTCAGGATGTGCTTTAGTATCTGTTAATAGACACCTACAAAGTCAGCTAGATACTTTTATTTTAATCTTGAAATGTATTTTAAATATAAGCAAACAATCTGTGTTATATACCCCGTACAAATGTATAGCCTTCACTCTCATCCTAGTTCAGGTGCGAAAGATTTCTTCCAAAGAAACGTAGACAGCGAAGTATGCATTCATTGGCCAGTCGAGAGGAACATAAGAATGACCACATGCCCAAAAAAGTAACCGGCGTAAATTACTTGTCTTACTAACAAAAATCACTCTTCGGGAAACCCATCTTCGTCTCGAGTAATATTTAAACTCTTAAGAACCCCAGCTAGAACTGCCTACCTTCTGTTCAGAGATCTTCCGAATTAGAATTAGCTGATTTACCGCTGACTTAATTTATTCTTTGAATTGCATTGAAATGTAGACATCTTGCTAGATAAAATGAAGTGATTGTATTAAGTGGAAATAACAGACTAGCAACGTATAATTTATAATGACTTGCTTTTGTGTCCTGTATGTAACACAGTGAAGGTGACGTGTCTTGAAAATATTATCTGTTTAATAAATAGGACTATATGTGTGCACCGTTCCTTTACTGCCGATATATACCAACGTAACACATCTGGAATATACATGTGTGTCACAGTATTAAAATGAGTCTTAAATGAAGTGCGAAGGCGTGGACTGTAGGTCTCACAGGATAGAGACCAGTGGAGGGCTCTTCTGAACACGGTAATGAACCTTTAAATTTCATAAAAGACGGAAAACTTCCTAACCGACCGAAGTATTTTAGCTCACTTTCCTTAAGTAG